AACCATGACATGGTAGAATGCCTGGAAAATCTGGAAAGCTAGCATAGTTAAGGAAAATTTTGGAGGGACAATTGAAGGTAGTACATTTGGGTTAGGGCTTGAGAGGGACAGTGCTTTTCCTAAAGCAGCAACCTTTTCTCTGTGCTGAAATATAATATTTATTATAATTGATTAAAAGGTTAAATTTGTAATTTTAAAATCATTAACAAAGGTATGGTAGTTATCTGTAAATATTAAAGCTCAAGAGAGCTCATTAGTTTTTTGAGAAACTTAAAATTTGATCCAAAAGTTTAAATTATATGTTCTTTTTTCTTTTAATGATTTGGATTCCCATGTTCTAGGTGTCAGAGTGGGGACGAATGAGCATGTGCGATGCAGAGAGACGTCTCCTTGCAAATGCCTTACTTGACCTCTCCAATGAATGGTTTGTGCTACTTTCAGAAGCTTGCATCCCCATGCGAAACTTTAGCTTCATGTACCAATATTTCAAAAGATCGAAGCACAGTTTTATCGGTGCAGTGGATGATGTAGGCCCTTATGGAAGAGGCCGTTACGACTTGAGAATGATGCCAGAGGTCAACATCTCAGACTGGCGAAAAGGGTCTCAGTGGTTTGAAGTGAACCGAAAGCTCGCTGTTGCTATAATCAAAGACTCCATTTACTACCCTAAGTTTGACAAGTTCTGCAGGCCAGCTTGCTATGTTGATGAGCATTACTTTCCGACGATGCTCACCATTCAGTTGCCACACCTTCTGGCAAACAGAAGTGTTACTTGGGTTGACTGGTCGAGGGGTGGGGCCCACCCAGCAACGTTTGGGAGGGGTGACATAAATGAGGCATTTTTAACTAAAGTTATTGGAGATCGTGTATGTGAATATAACGGCCAGAACACTACGGATTGTTTTCTCTTTGCAAGGAAGTTTGCTCCAAGTGCGTTGGAGCCTCTACTGGAATTGGCACCCAGTCTTCTTGGATTTGGTTAATGTGGATGAGAACTTGATTGTTTGATGATTTTTCAAAAATCGAACTTCAGGAATGTCTATTTTTCACGATTATTATTTTTGTACAGATGAGTACCAATTTTGAGGAATCGGTTGATTCTGATCTGTATTAGATAGTAGTTTGGTCAGTCATATCTACATCTACACTTAATAGCATTACGTGTTATTTTTATGAACGTTGGCGCCAGCAGTATGTTTTATATATGCTGCTGGTAGTCGGCCTTCTGATGTTCATTCTCTTTGCTCTACATTTTCGTGTCGTGGCTGATTCCATTAGATGGGCTATTTAATTAAATGCTGTTATTTGTTATTGTATCACCTGGCGATTATCCAGTGACTTCTGAATGCCTATTTACAGTTTCAGAAATCCCTGGGTTTGTTGTTGGTATGTTGCCTTCATATCAAATGATATTTTCTTTTGGCCAAATTGAACCGAGGGATTTGATTCCTGGCTCCCACAAGCCAAAATATCAATTTTCTTTTCTTTGTAGGGTGAGTGATAAAGATGCTTGATAATTGTAATGTTATCCATATAAAATGAGAGTTGTGGTCCTGCTTTCAGCACTTAAGTTACCGCTATCCCCTTCCTCTGAAAACTGAAGCAAGTGATAATCATCAATGGCTCTTCCTTCTGGAACTTTGGCTGCATTGAACAGGCCTGCAGTTTCTTCCAAAATGCTAGCAGTTGAAAATCTAAGAACATTTACAACATCATTTAAAGGAAATGGATATGGGAGAAGGAGCCTGCTGAGCTTAGTTTTATTGTCAACAGCCTCAGCAGCATCTAATGCTAGTGATTCAAGAACAGCACTTCTTCAAGGTACGCTAAACTTTCATCACTTTGAACACCTTTGAACTTTTGATCTATGGACATTATCTGTAAATTTCAGAGTACATAAAGAAGTCCAAAGAGAACAAAGCAAGGAATGATAAAGAGGTGAGCGTTAGCTTCCTTAATCACCTCTCCATTGTCTGACTTGTACAATTCAAGCCGTGAGAACGCATCAGAGAAATCAGTAATGCATCGTGTTGCTCCCTTCTCTTTTGTGAATTTGCTCTTTGTTGCTCCCTTTCAGAGACTGGATGATTACTACAAGAGAAACTACAAAGATTACTTTGAGCTTGTTGAAGGTTCGGTGCAGGGTAAGAGCGAAGAGCAGCTTTCTGAAGCTGAGAAGCAAATCCGCGAGTGGCTTCGAAAAAACAAAGAATAATAACATGTTGCTATTGTTCGAAAACTCTCAATAGAGCAACATCATCCGGTATTTACTGTGTATTTTGCAATAGAGTAAACATATCACATCAATATGTCTGAAACCATCAATCTCAATTTTGATAATGCAAGCACCCATTTCCCTTTGGGAAGAAAGAAAAGTAACAATAAGCATATGAAAACATATAGACATCTCTCTGCTCCAAGGCAGAGATCTTCCTTTAAATGCTGAATATCACATAGTATAGCTAGTTTAGATCTTTGTCATGTTGTATTGAAACAAGCATAAAAGCAACATAGAAGCACCTAACAGCCTTGTGTATCTCTCCACTTCAAGTAAATGAGTCCAGCCCTGTAATGTACGTACGCTGCAGCAACAACCAGCACATGGAAGAGCTGATGACTATGTCCAGCAAGATCAAACTTCCCTGGCATCCACCTCTCCGGAATCCTTGCGGCATAAACCAACGCCCCGAGCCCATATAAAACCCCCATCAAAATCTCATACCCTGTAGTATGAACCGCCTCAGGCTGATCTCTAAACAATATAAGCTTATGCAGCACCGGCACCACACCAGAGACACCCATTCCAAAAAACAAGCCAGCCCTAATCGACCTATACTCAGGGTTCTGAAACACAGGCAGTAGAGAAGCACAGATCGTTGCGATTCCAAGAATGGTGATGGATGTAAGATAGAGATTGCAGAAAAAGGGACTGCACATGAAGGAGTAGTAGACTGGAGGGTAGAATGAAGTGGAGATGAGGGCGGCGATGCCGGCGTAATCAAGGCGGAGCATTATGTAGGCGACGCGTCGGGAGTGACAGGAGAGGAGGTGGCACGTACTGCTGGCGAGGAGGCAGAACATGGCGCCACCGAGGAAGGCGTAGAATGGCCAGCG